CTAGGCCACGTATTTTGTTCTACCCAACACCATGCCTCAAGTTAACCAAACATGCGGTCTGGCATAATGGTTTGATCTAAAGTCGACAGATAGCTTTCCTTAGAACATTACTTTATGGTGGTTTGATGCAAGGTTGACAGACAGCTTTCCTTATAACATTACTATATGATGGTTTGATGTAAAGTCGACAGATAGATTTCCTTATAACATTACTATATGATGGTTTGATGTAAAGTCGACAGATAGATTTCCTTATAGCATTGTTGTATGGTGGTTTGATGCAAAGTCGACCGATAGCTTTTCTTATAAGATTACTTTGTGGTGGTTTGATGCAAAGTCGACAGGTAGCTTTCCTTATAAGACTACTGTATGATGGTTTGATGTAAAGTCGACAGATAGATTTCGTTATAACATTACTATATGATGGTTTGATGTAAAGTCGACAGATAGATTTCCTTATAGCATTGTTGTATGGTGGTTTGATGTAAAGTCGACAGACAGCTTTCCTTATAACATTAATTTATGGTGGTTTGATGAAAGTCGACATTATGAGCTATTTGCATATACTTTTTTCGACGGTTATTTTCTCCTTGTTTTTCTTTTCTATTTTAAATCCCCAGTTTTCAAATCTATAGCTGAAGTTCTAGTTCCATTTTTGTATTTCAAACTAGAGCACATGTTCTGAGGTAGATTCATCAACTCCCTTATCATAAAGATGCTATTATTGTTGTTTTTATGTGATACGTTTCATGCTGTGGTAATGACATGGCACACATATAAGAGACTTTTGTGTAAAATATTGTGTCAGAATTTATCATCCAAGAAAATTCAGAAGGGGAATAACCGGATAAGTGTGGATGCAGTTAGAGAGAAAACTACAATTTTTTTATAGGATCAGTAAGTTGATAAGATATAAGTTAAGCTAAAGAACACGTGAGATTTAGAAACAGATAATCAATAGAAAATGCCTGATAAGAGTGAACAATAACCGGTCTTTAACTTCATGTTTCTGATGACACAGCCTTTTGGAAAGTGAAGTATGAAGTGAGAAGTTGACGTAATTTGTGTGGAGGTGGTGAGCTGTACTACTGTTAAGAGAAAGCAAGATGAAGAGTGGCGTGAAATGAAAATACCAAATGTTGGGTATTTCCCAAACTCTGAAATGTTGAATAATGATAATAATCACTATGTTATGTCAATGCATCATGAACAAACAAGAAAATGTACCGAAATCTATTATGATGCTGAGTGGAAACTTTGTATGTTAGTTTTGATTAACGGGATACGTAATTGTTTTTCTAAACTAAACATGAGATAATTAGAAAAACAACGTGCATTGTTGTTTAAGATGTGACGTCACTTATCCTCTATTAAGGTCGAGAGTACAAACTGAACAGCAATAAGTGGAAAAGAGTAAACTTACAATTTGTAGAGAAATATAAATAGCAGATGTTATTGGTTCAAAGTTGGCCTCACAATTAGGACTACATAGCTATGCTTATAAAAATATCTTAAAATGAAGACCCGACATTTCGAGGACTTACGAGCTATAATCATCACGGGTACATCAATGGAGCATTACACAGATTAAATAAGTCCCTCAGAACTTCAGACTTATTTAAAATTAAATTAATAGTTTTCAAAATACACATGTAAATAAGCTCTACTAGAAGTCAACCATCAAACACATTAAGACATGTTAGATAGTAAACCATAAAGAAGGTATAAGCTGATTCCAATATCATGATTTAAGATATTATCGTTTTAACAATAATCCTTGTTTCTAGAAATAACCTTTTTTGAAATTTGGCCTCATTCAACAGAATACAAGTAGTCAGCCAATCAAACAGTAATGATACACTTAGACAACTGGAGAAACAGAAATGCTTTACTGATAAAATACAAGAAAATTATACAATTATGATGGTATTGCCCCAATATTTAAACACATAAACCGTTTGCTTGTTTGTTTGTTTTTAATTATGCACAAAGCTACACAAGGGCTATGTGTGCTCTGCTCACCACTGTTATCGAAACCCGGTTTCTAGCGTTGTAAGTCCGCAGACATACCGTTGTGCCACTGGGGATCCACATAAACCGGGGACAATCTGGTTGTGTCTGTCATTGGTTCACCTTAGATTATTTTGTTTATTCACCGATAAATCATCCTAACATTTTATAACACTTTTAATGATTCTGGGTAAAATGATAAGTGAAATGTTAAGAAAACATATTTAAGTCATTTCTTTTTTTTCATATATGCGTTTGAAATTCCAAAATGCTCGTAGTTTTCAAGAAATTGTTAAAATATATTATTCATTTATGCCAAAAACTCCATCCGAAAGCTATAATAACAGTATATTACTTTATCACTGATACTTACATTTTATAGTTGAACTCTTATTAGATTATATATCATTATTTATTTATCATTAACCTTCCTAAGTGCTATTATTAAAATATGAAACTGCGAATTAACATAACACTGAGAGAAGTTTGCGTTTGTGCATTTGTAGTATGTAATTATATCAATATTATTTAACCTTTATTTAATAAGAAGGAATTTATTGTAAATAATTCGGAAGAATTTTGTTCAATTGTAGCCAAAAATATATTAATTCAAAATAAATTATGTTGTCATTTGATGTAACATCGTATAGTAGGGTGATTAGGGCGCTCGACTCGCATTATGCTCGTCCTTTCAGCCGTGTTAGCGTTATAATGTGACGGTTAATCACACTATTCGTTTGTAAAAGAATAGTTGAAGATTTTGTTTTGGCTGGTGTTGATTAGCTGTCTTTTCTCTAGTCTATCACTGCTAAATTAGAAACGGCTAGAGCAGATAGCCCTCGAGCAGCTTTGTTCGAAATTCCAACTAAATCAATGTAACGTTGTTGTTTACTTGCATTGTTGTCGTTTAATGCAATATTGCTTTCTCCTTGCATTCCCACTGATTTAGCTTATTACGTTATTGGATCCAAACTTAAAAGTGTTTCAACTTTTCAACATAAAGCGTAATTATCAGTAGAAACCAATTTAAATACTGTCCTTGTTGCAACTTGTTGCCGTTTTATTTTACATAAGTAAAGTTCCTATCCAGCTATCTGATACAGTAAAATATTTGGGCGCCATTTCTTATAAGCACGTGACATGGAAGTCCCAAAATCCAACGTTTTCCTTTTCCGATGCTTAACAGGAACCTCCTAAAATTTTACGACTCCGCTGCTTCTCTACACTTATAAATACTTTATCCAATCCTGCCTGGCGTATTAGCATAGATCATCATTTTTCTGCTCCCTCATTCTATTACGATCAGTTATAGGTTTTGGAGTGCCATACACTTCGATTGGCATTTCAAATTCAATTATCTAATCCCACCAATGATCTTTATTTTTGCATTCGTTTCCAACATATTCTCCAACACTTACATAATTTACGCACTGTATTCATCGCCATCTATCTGTATGTTTCACCGCCGCGACATCTTTTGGACCTACTACATCTAATGAGAAAAGTTATGACTCCTGCGGAGCACCTTTATAACTTATACTTCTGGAGAGAAAGCCTGATCATAATGCTCCCCCCCCCCCATGGCAGACTTACCACTTTGTATTTATCCTCCCTGAGATTGGCCTCTCTAAACACTAAACTCTGACGATTATATTCGATATTCTCTGTACTTTCTCCTCTTGCGGCTCCTTCATTTTTTACACCATGAGCATCTACTTCTTAAACGTTTGTTTCTTTTATCTGGCCATCATATATTTAGCTGTCTATCATCATACTTCTCTTATGGCTGAAGAGGGGTTGTAACCTTTTGATGATCCGCCAGCCTTAGGGTTGGAATAAAATGACAATTAAAGTAAAATTAACCTTTTGTTTCTTATCGCACAGCCCCACTGAAAAGTTCTGGCATTGACGAAAGACCTCTTGGACAGTGACATGTCTGAGAAAAAATGTAAATCATATACACTAATTTTACACAATTCTAATTAAAAAACTGAAGTGTACAAATAAAGAGGAATACGATATTAATATAACATTACTGTATTGTTATCTGTCTCCTGACCCCAACAATATGGTAAGTTAAGGAAGAGGAAAGCTGCACAACGGGCTATCTGTGCTCTGCCCACCACGGGTATCGAAGCCCGGTTTCTAGCATTGTAAGTCCACAGACATACTGCTTTGCCACCGGGGGGCGGGAGAGGAAGAAAATATTGTAAACACACGATTCGTGTTCTTGGTGTTGGAACGACATTTGCTATGTATAAACGCCGTATTATCGGATTCATCCTGAAAATTACAGCGCTTCTTCATAAAACCTGAAGATGCTTCATTGTAATTGAATTCTATAAATTTACGTCTAAGAATACTTTCAACTCTTACTTGTTATTCGAAGTGATATAATGATGTCAAGTTGGTCTTTACTAACACGCGTCGTCTTATAATCCTCTTGGCCTAGAAATTATTTTGTTTAATCTAAATTTCAGATAAAGAAAAACTAATAAATCGAAAATTTTTAAATTTTAACTAACTTGATGAATCACGTATCCTGCTTTTTTAGAATAGTCTTATCGTTTTTGTAATTAGTTTAAAATTATGCTTTTATATCCCTGAGTAAGTACCACTGAGTGTTTAGAATCCTGTGTTTCAGGAGATAACAATCTCGTACGAGTCCTTTCTTATTATAATACAGTGGCCTAAAACATTTAATAAGTTGCGCGGTAATAACGTGAGTTATGATTACACTGAAACCTTGGGTAATGGAGTTGAACGATATATTCACATAGCAGGGATGGGAAACCCCCTAGTTAGGGGTCTGCTACATAACCTCGCCCCAAGCACCATGAGTTTGAAAATATTCGAAACTATAGAGCACTTTAAGATAAGGCATTGTGTGGCACCTCGGCCCATATCAGGCTGTTTCCGGCACAGCCTTCATATAAAAGTCACAACCACCTGAAGTAATCACAACAGCTTGAACTTCAGCCTAAATGAAAATGTTGCAAAAGGTAAGAATTATGGTGACAAAAGTAATATGATCTCGTTTGATGAGCTTTCGCACGTTTTACGTATCGTTCGCATAAAACGAATGTTCTCATTTCCTCATATTGGATAGTTTTTGTAGGTTATTGGATAGATCATAGACTAGCCGAAAACTTAACGATTTATCTTTAGTATCCTATTTAAGTTTGCGTTTCTGTATTATATATCTAAAATAATTATACATCCTAATATTTTCAGGTTTTGCTTTTATCTCTAGTTATTATAAGTACTGAAGCAAAGATCTATCGACCCTACCAAGAGGTTGTAAGTATAACTGTTTTATTTATAACCTCTTATTGTTAACTGTTTTATTTATAACCTCTTATTGTTCAAACCCTACCGTTGATTTTTAAGTAATGACTTCCAAAAAAGGAAGGAAAGAATTATTGTAAGTTTGATGTTTTAAAACTTTTTTCAGTAGTTTGATAATAGGTACAAATAAATGATGTACAGCATTTTCATGAGCTGCCATCTATTGGTGATAACGATGTATTTATTTGAAACATTATTTAGTATTTACGCATTGCAACAACAAAATGATTGGACATCTTGATTAGAAAACCTTACTCAAACTTTCAGAAAAATCTAAAATTCATAGAAATAAGTTAACTAAGCTACATTTATAAGATTTAAAAATAGTCATTATCGTACTTAATACAAAGCTGTATTATAATACACAATGAGATAAATATACGTAAGAACTTGTTTATGACTTGGGAAGTGAAAAGCGAAAAGTTGTCGCGTAGAGTGTCCTTAAGTTCTTCCATTCTTCTTGTTACATATTTTATTGTTTGCTCTCCTTCTTTAGGCTCAGCCCCAGCCTTATGATTTCGGTTACGAGATTAACGACAAGAAAAGTGGCAGTAACCAGTTTCGCAAGGAGCAGTCAGATAGTCATGGTGGTGTCAGGGGTTCTTATGGCTATACCGATGCTAGCGGCATCTATCGACAGGTAGACTACATAGCTGATCATAATGGATATCGTGCTGTGGTGAAGACCAACGAGCCCGGTACATCCAACCAAGATTCGGCGGGGGTGAAAGTGCTGAAAGAACCAACACCCCCTCTCCACCATCTTGTGCCTACTGCTGCTAAACCACAAATCTATCCTTCCCCAAACTATAGGGCTTTAAACCCTATTCATGCTGGTCATAATCCTCACTACGGTTACAACTCCTTAGAATACGGCCACCCTAACAATTATCACCCTCCATTGAATTCCCGTTTCATATATCCGTATTATGGATATCAGAATTATTACTAAATTGATAAGTCAGCTTTTCGTTACATTTATGGATTTGAAATTAAGATTTATAGTATTTAGTTTTTAAATAAAAAATGTATATACCTTTAGAGAGGAACCGAATAACATTTTGCCGTATAAAAGCTATTTGCGAGAAAAACCAGTATATTGTTTAAAAACACGGTTTGCAAATGTAATGAGAAAGCAATTCGTTTTTAACGTAGAGTAATGCTACTAATTATTTCTATCCAAAAGATAAAAATACAATCAACTGCATGTGTTAGTCATTTAAGGAGTACCAGTAAAACCACCAGTAAAACATGCATGATGTCATAGCTGAAAGTAAATTGATTACTCATTCTTTTTAAAGGTATATACATTCCAGCTTAGGTTTCCGTAGTCAGTGTGTAATTAAACAGTAATAGTCCAGGCTAATTTACAGCATAATGTCGTAAACAGCCAAATTTAATGAGAAAGTTTATTCACCTTTTGAATTACCACAGTATCTGAGCTGTATATATATATATAAGCATATGATAATATACATGAATTGTTTTCCACCTATGCTAAAGACATTTGAATACTACACGTGTAAATTTTTCCAATAAAAGTTTTCTTGTTACAAATTTAATGGTTTTTATTATTGATGATGTTATTATACCAACAATCAGCCAAAGTATAATGTATGATACGTTGCTCTTAATAACCGACAATCAAACTAGGAGGGAAGATACTTTTAACAACAAAGTGATTATGAACAAAACCACAAGCTTATAAGTATTATAGCTTAAAAACTACTTCCTTAGGGGAAGAATATCTCATGAGTCAGTGGTACATTAAGAATCATAAGTTTTATTCAGGAAAGTTTGAACCTGCTAGTTACTTTTTTTTCTTTTTCTTTCAAATTATCGGAATTACATGCATATCAATGTGCAGTAAAATAAGATTGCTGTTTGGACTACACTATTAAAATAAAGCACATTTACTTTGGCTAAAAGACAACTCCAGAAACAAACTTGGCACCCAATTCACTACAAAAGCCCTAAAGATGTCAAAAAATTAATTCTATTGTTATGATGCAACTAGACCGATAAATGCCAGAGATGTAGCCAGGATTTCATAGTAGGGGGGTATATTTCTAAAAATATGGGAGCCTTTTCTTTTACACAAAAATTTAACTCATTTACATTAAAATCAAGTGTTTATTTTTTTTAATTAGAAGGTAATAGAACTTTTAGGCTTTTCGGAATGTTGGGGCAGTCATTTGACCCACCCCCGATCAACATCTGGCTACGTTCCTTAATGGGTGACCATATGAATCTGTGCATGGAAATTACACAAAATATCCAAGACCAAGACGAAAAGCATCATTTTGGGGCGCAACTTGAAGAGATGCTGTTTGAGAACTTACTTGCTATTTATTACCGAGAAAATAACAGAAAAACTGAAGCTCAACTGGAGTGGAGAGGACGGTATCTTGGGAAACCATGAGATGATTGAGGAAAAAAATTACCACAAAAACTATTCAGCGCAATGAAGAACGCAACCATACTAAAGTAACATAAGTCAGCACTCGCATATCTCACTATAAAAAGTTTTGACTAAAGTGACGATTAAATCTATTTGACGTATATCTGTTTATTTCAATTTTTGTTGGAGTAGAGGTTTCACGAACTAAAAAAACTTCAGAACTGCTGAAAACGCATACGTAACTGGTCAGAAGCCTGCTCTGGATCTTTATGTTACAGTAGGATGTGATTTCACAGCACTTTTATTATCGGTTATTATTGTTTATTTCAAGAGGTTGAAACTGGTCTCACCCAAATTGTTTCAGTAAAACCATTCCGTTATGAGAAAATATTGGAAGACTATGTTGCGAGGAACTGAGAAACGACACCTTCCAACAAGATGGCGACCGCAACCCCCTATACAGTTTTGCATATATTGCAACAAATAAGACCGTTGTTATTAAGATGGAATAAAAATACACTTATCGCTGTCAAACTGAGAAATACATGCTTTATTAAGCATCTACATATGTAATTTGTATAATGAGACAAGTTCTATAGACATCATGAACGATTTATTAGAACAACAAACAATTTTATCAGTTACGTGTAGAAAAATGTGTAATTCAGCATTTCACCTATAACATCAAAAC